GTAGTTCCCCTAACGCAAGTGCGGAAATACACTTCACGCACGTGTTTGGTACACTATTTTTACTACTAGCGAGCGGAAAAAATAAAATTTATCTTTTCTGCACTCATTTGAGGGTTGAGAGTTTTTTCCGCACTATTGCGGACAAGTGACTCTGACAGCAATAATATGTGTGCGAAAAATATGATTTCTGCGCACGATAGTAAAAAAACTATTTTTTTAATTGGGAAATTGAAGATGGCAGATCCAATATGGCGGTCGAGTTTTGTCATCATGATTCGATTCTATTCAAAATTGGTATCTGGGGATTTTTGGGGTCGGAGATAATGATTCCTCTGTCAAAATTAGGAAATTCAAGATGGTGGATCCAATATGGCGGATCCAATATGGCGGATCCAATATGGCGGACGAGTGTTGTACCATGATCCGATTCTATTGAAAATTGGTTTCTGGTGGTTTTTCTGGTCGGAGATTATGGTTCCTTAGTCGGAATCAAGATGGCGGATCCAATATGGCGGACGAGTTTTGTAATGATGATCTGATAAGATTCAAAATTGGAATCAGGGGGTTTTCTGGGTTAGAAGTTATGATTCCTTCGTCAAAATTAGGAAATTCATGTGTGTGGGAGTTTTCGGAGTCGGAGATTATAATTATTCCGTAAAATTCGGGTGCTTCAAGATGGCACATTTAATATGGCGGACAAGATTTGTAATTATGATCCGATTCTATTCGAAATTGGTATCTGGGTGTGTTCAGGGTCGGAAATTATGATTCTCTCGTTGAAATTTGAAAATACGAGATGGCGAATTTAATATGACGGACGAGTTTTGTAATAATTATGATCCGATACGATTCAAAATTGTGATCTGGGGGTTTTTGGGGTCGAAAATTATTAATCTTTGGTCAAAATTAGGGAATTCAAGATGGCGGATCTGATATGGCGAACTAGTTTTGTAGTTATGATCCAATTCTATCAAAATTTTGTTTGTAGGAGTTTTTGGAGTCGGTGATGATGATTATTCAGTAAAAATTATGGAATTCGAAATGGCAGATCCAATATGGCGGACGAGTCAAAATTGGTATATGAGGGTTGTCAGGGTCGGAGATTATGATTCTGTCATTGGAATTAGGAAATACAGGATAGCAGATCCGATATGGCGGACGAGTTTTGTAATTACGATCCGATTCTATTCAAAATTGTTACAAGGGGGTTCTTGGGGTCGGGCATTATGGTTTTTTCATCAAAATTAGGAAATTCAACTTCACACCATGACAGCTCCTGATGATCTACAAAGCACAGATACGGCCCGTTTCAAGAATATGTTTTTCATATATGAAATTCAGCACCTTAACATATGCTGATACAGCTAGATTCATCTTCGATGCAGAGACTAGTCATCCGTCTGGTGGGTGATGCCACACTCACTGATTCTTTGACACTATCGTAACACCATAAGGAAGTCGGTAACCTTACACTTCTCTTATGATACTCTCACGGAAAATGTTCTTCAGAAATTTCTTTCACTTGCAAAACCAGTTAGACGTACTCGATAAGCTCAATCAGCAAATTTTTTTGTCGTTATCCTCGAAATATACCGAACAATTATTTATCGGAACTCGTTTGTCAATAGAAAGGCAAGTCTTTCGAATTCTTCACAACAGGAAATATATTCTCAAGAACTTATTATCCTCAGAGGTTCAAAGAAAATTCCGATATCTACCTTCTTCCTCAATTCTCCCTGAGTACGCACGATGGTCCTCGAACATGAAAGAGATTTGCTTTCGTGCGCTCCGAAAGATGAAAAATAGTAAACTCTCCTCAAAATCAGATTGAACAATTTGATTGGTCTGAATGCTAGAAAGTTAAAGATTTTTCATTAAATGATGTGCCACTATATGTATTGATTTTCTGGTTGAATACTATCGAACAGGCTTTTAATACTTTCGAAAGAGCTGTCGCTCATCCCTACATGTGATTTTAGTTCATTGTCAGCAATAGGGTGCTGCATCACGCCGCCATCATCTTCAAAAATATTTGTTTCGCTATAGAAATGATGAAATTCCAACATGTGTGCGTGATGGAAATATAAAATAGATTCAGAAATATAGATATTCGTGTCCATTCCTCGAACATCAGATATGGCAACATTGCAGGATCTCATCTTGTGTATTAAATATCAAAATATACATCTCCGGATCTCAACTTGCATGAATTCGTCTCGGATCTCTCATTGTTTGAATAGTATCACAAAAATTCAAATTGAAAAATCTCTTCCCCTCTCTAGAGTTTTGGTTTGAAGAGGATGTTTGGCAACTATTTGTGAAATACATACTCAACGAAGTCCTTCTGTTGTGGTGGATCTCGGGTTGTCCATAATTTATTCGGATCTCGACTTGGTACAAAAACATATATATATATATATATATATATATATATATATATATATATATATATTGATATCCGATGGGTTGTCACTTCCGCTATACTGGAGGGCAACCTGACCTCCGGGTCATAGAAATACTTTTTCCGAGAAAAAATAACGTATATATGCGTATATATACTCAATCTACCCGTTTTTCAAAAGAGGGGAAACGATTTCGAATTTAAAAAATTTCACGTATTTTGTATATATATAAGATACAAAGTGACCTCCGCCGAATTTTCTATATACGCATCATATATTGAACTTAGTCACTTCCGGCAGTGATGCCACATTTCTGGAAGTGACTTCAACCGAAACGTGTGAGGAAAGCAATATAATAGAGAAATATATACGATAAGACCCAGCAAACGTTGTTTCGCCATATATATCGAAAAAAACATTCTTTCAGTGGAATATTTGTCAACACAATTCCATTATTTGAATTTGTCATTGTCTAGGGCTTTTCAGTTCGGCAATCTATCTCTTCAGTTTCCCAAGGAAATATTTATCACAAAGCGCGTTCGGTATATTGGATCCGCCATCTTGAATTTCCAAAATTTTGACGCAAAAACCATAATCTCCGACACCAAAAAGTTCCAGATACAAATTTCTAATAAAATTGGATCATTATCAGATATCTCGTCCGCCATATCGAATCCACCATCTTGAATTTTCAAGTTCTGATGAAAATATCATAATCAACGACCCAATGGGCTTCGTGGCCAAGTTTGTCTATGCGCTGAAATTCGCTAGATAGCCTGATCCTGGCAGCACCTCGATGCCCTAGAAGTGGTTCGGATTCCACTATAAGCTGTAGGTCCCGCTCTTCCTAACCCCGCACAAGTTTCGACTTCTGGGGAGTTGGTTCCCAACTTTGAAGTAGCGATATTCAAAAAAAAATACAACGAAAAAATAGTTGAATTTTACATTCAATAAATAGCTTACGACCGATTCCCAGACCTATCAGATATGCACAAAAATGTTCATGAGATTCGGTCGGGCCGTTTCGAAAGAGTTTGGCGACAAACACAGTGCATGACATGAGAATTCCATAATATAGTAGGTATTCATTCCACAGAGGTTGCTAGGTTCGATGCCCGACAGAGCAGATAATTTTTATTCATAAAACGAGTTAAAAAAATTCAATTTTCGTAGCCTTGGCCGGAGCTGATTCCGCAGGATTCGTTGTTGCGTTCAAATTATTCGTGCTGCTCTTGAGGTGGCGTATGGAGTTAGTAACAAACACACACAATGGCTGAAGGACCTGTCGTGAGGTTAATAGTCAGTTGGTTTGTACATACAACTGGGTATAAATACTACTACTACTACTACTCATTCCACAGTTTATCAATGACTTAATATTCAATGGGAGTACTTGATTTCTATAGGTAGATATTGGGGAACTTCTACAAATATTCGATAATTTTTTCATTACCCAAACGTATTTTTTGCAGAATTTACTCAGTCAGCTTTGTCGTTCCATCATTGCACATGATGACACATGAAAATAGGAATAGTCTCTACTCATTACCGGTAAGGTAGGAAAATCAGATCGACCCAGCTCATCAAGGGACAACTTGTCAATTCCCATGCTATCAATGGTCATCTCATCAACGACCCAATTCTTTAACGACTCAGATCATCACAGGGCGTCCACTTCATGAACACCCAACTCAGCATCGATCCATCTCATAAACGATCCATCTCATCAACACCCATATTTCGTCAACACCTAACTTGTTAACGACGCTACTGATCAACAACCAGTCATCAACCTATACATTTCATCAATACTCATCTCATAAACCACCTCTATCTCATCAACCATCCCACATTCAACTAACCTAATTTTCATTACATCAACACTCAAGTCAGCGACAAGACAAATCATCACCGACCCATATCATCAACGCACTAATTTTATCAACACCCATATATCACCAACGACCCAACAATCGAACTTATTAGAGAGGTTCTATTCACCAACTTACCAACTTCATCCACAGCCAATTTATCAACCTCACAACTGGTCAAGGACCCTACTGATCACTGAGTTCAATCATCACTAATGCAGGTCAACAACGAACCAACTCATCAACGACAAAGCTCATCGACGACACAACTCATCAAAATGAGTTCTCCTTCCATCAACACACAACTCATCAACCCACCTCTTTCATCCACACCTGACCCAACACAACAAAGTGCTGATTATTCAACTTTGCAACTCGTTGTGTCTTTGATAATTTGGAGCGTTGATGAGTTGGAACGTGGATGAGTTGGAACGTTGATGAGTCGAAACGTTGATGAGTCGAAATGATGACGAGTTAGCTCGTTGACGAGTAGAGTTGTCAATAAGTTAGGCCGTTGATGTGTTGGGTCGTTGATGATTTGAATCGCTGATTATTTGAAACGTTAATGAGCTGAAAGTTTTATGAGTTGAATCGTTAACCAGATGAGTCGTTGATTAGTCGAGTCATTGATGATTCGGTTCGTTGACGAGTCGGGTGTTGATGAAATGGGTACAAAGACGAATTTGGTTTAAGAGTTGGTTTATTCATGAGTTGATTCATTGATGAAATGGGTACGTTGATGAGTTGGGTGATAATTGGTGAGTTGGATCGTTGATGGAAAGGGTATTGATGAAATTGGTAAGTTGATGAGGTGATAAGTTGATCATTTGGGTAGTTGGTGATTTGGGTCATTGATGAGTCGGCTCGTCGGAGCGTTGCATATTGGCGAAATTGGTGCGACAATGAGTTGGGTCATCGATGAGTTGGATTATCGATGAGTTGTGCTGATGACGAAGTTGTTGTTGATAAAAGGGGTGTAAACGAGGGTGTAATGATGAGTTGGGTCGAGATCGGCCTTGGATTTATATGGATGTGTTGATGGGTTCGGTCGTTGATGAATTGGGTAGAGTAGAGGATAGGGAGATGGAACTTCCTCCAGCAAAGAATTCCAAAGATCGTGGACCCGCATACTGTTCTCATTGTATTTGTATAGCGAAAAGTTGTTCGACATATTTCAAAATTGACGACTAAAGTATGTTCTGACTGGGCTTATTGTGTACGTCTGACTACTATTGCTGGTACTGGTAGTGATAAAAGGTGGGTACGTTTGCAGTCAGCAACTAGTCCCTAAAGGTACCTTTCAGCAAGCCCCAATATGTGTTCAATGAGTAATGTGGTTCACTTAAGAGAGCTGGCTAACACCCTTTCCAGGTACCGTCCATCAGCTTTGTTACTTACTACATGTATCATTTCAGTAGCAACACTGTTGAGTCGAACGCAACAGTGAATCGTCAGGACCTCGGTCAGGACTATCTCCAACCGATGCTTTGAAACTGAACAATATACAATTCCTAAATCAAACATTGAGGAAATTTCTTGGTTCAACAGCGATTCGAACACACGACCACGCCTTGTCTTTCAGGGCTCCAATACCAGCCAGGTAAATCAGAAACGAACGAGGAAGAAATGTTGACAACATGAATATGGACTTGGCAACAATTCTCGAATGGGGATCCAATAACTTGCTAGATTTCAATGCAAACAAAACACAAGCATGCCTTTCCTCTAGAAAAGCCGATCTCACTGTACCCAACATAAGCTTGTCAGGAGTAACCATACCTTTGAAGACATCCATTTCGATGCTTGGTATTACTATCAGCAATAACCTTTCTTGGGAAAATCACGTGAGATTATATGCTGAAAGTGCATCCCAAAAACTTGGTTTCCTGTTTCGGGCCAGGAGCAATTTCACTTCCAGTCAGCTGCTTATGAACTTTGAGGCACAGATCTGACCTGTCCTAGGATACTGTTTTCATATTTGAAGTTCAACACCCAAACATGTCCTGAAACCGTTGGATTCTGTCGAAAAAAGAACAATTTGTCTTGTGGGTGATGCCTCGCTCAGAAACTCACTCACTTCTCTGGAACACCGTAGGAAAGTTGGCAATCTGGCCCTATTTCATAGCTATTTTCATGGACGATGCTCTTCTGAAAAATCAACAATTGTTTCTTTTTTGGCAGTCCCTGCGAGATTTTGGAGACCTGCAGAACATATCTTTCGTTCTTTCATTTCACGAACAGCAAGGCTCCGGAACACATTGCCAAGGAAGGTGTTCCCCGAGGCATATAACCTCCAGAAATTCAATGAATTAAGGAATTGGACGAACACCAATTCCTACCTTATTTCTCTTGGTTCCCACGATGTTCTCTGAACATTACAGGATATCCCTTTTCGTGGGAACCAGATCATAAAAAAAATCAAGTTTTCATAATTCGTTGAGTTCGACCCTTCATTTCTTAATTTTTTTGAATCAATATAAATTTATTTGGATACCTGTTTGTATGTACCACGAATATTGGGACTCAATACTGATGAGAAGTGAAACGATCTTCAGAAATAATAACACATAGGCTTACAGTGTTGCCGAAATTCGGAGGTCTCAATATGCATTCTGAATAACGGAAGTCACTTCGTTATACATGTATCAATCGTATATATGGACATGGAGCGCCACCAAACACTGACGTTAAACTCTCGAACTAAAAAACTTTTTTGGAGGTATGGGGTGGTCAAAGTGACCTCCGGAGAAATTTTCGGGAATGGCCTTCTGATGACATCTGCTGGCTACTGTGTTGAAATGAATGGGGATACGTTGTGACTTCCGTTTTCGGAAGTCACAACGTCATATATGAGGTGACAACGTATTGCATGTGTAACGGTGCGGAGGTGACTTTATACCGTCTATCAATATATATATATATATAGTTATAAACGGTATATTGTGGAGCCCGTCATATGAACGGGGCGCTGTTGAGCCCGGCCTTTCCAGTGTAGTTAGGAGAGTATATCTCGGGACAATCATATCATCCCATCTCTGTCTTTCAGGGGATACTTAGAGGGGAAAGGATTTCGAACATTTGGAAATTTTTATATGTTTTTCGCACGTTGTTGAGCCAATTATACTTTCGCTACGTAGTGGAGCCCAATTATATACGAATTCACATGAACCGGTTCTTGTGTGTCCCGACAGTGTTGCCAAGTTGCCATTCTTATTATTGTGTGAATCCCACGGTTAACTGAGTGTATTTGAAATCTATACCGATCAGTATTATATAAACCGTGCAAAGATGAGCCTCAGAGGCAAAATTATGGTCGAGATGGCGAAACATCAATTGCGAGAACGAAAAAAGGTAAGTTATTATACATTATTATTCTAGCATTACTTTCGGATACTTTTTTCTGAATTTGGTAGTCAAATGCCTGTAGCTGAACCATAGAAATTACATGATGTCACTTGTGTTACCTTCCTATCCATGTTAATATTTCTAGCGGTTTCCAGATATATTTTCAAAAATCATCCAATTTGAAACTAGATATATGTTGGTATTACTCATGAATACAGACACAGACATTATACAGGATGTTACTGACCAAATAGCAAACATTTTTACAAGTTTTTATTCAATTCCATTCATAGTGGCTGCCTGTGCGTGTGTGTGTGTGTAATCAAATCTTGCAAGTTGAATATGACACACTTTCTAATCGTCCGATCGATTTGAAATTTGGCAGGTGTACATAACTCTGGTGACAATGCATCACGAAATTTTTGGTAGAGAAGAAAAACAAAATGGCGGCTCCAAGATGGCGGATGAGTTTCGTAATCATAATCCGATTTCATTCAAAATTATATCGAAGACTGGAACCTTTGGCACGATAATCCACTACACTGTTTAACCACTGACCAAACCGATTTTTCAAACGCCTCGACACGTGTTTTGCTTACTATGTTAGCATCTTCAGGAGAAGATTGAACACGTGTTGAGGCGTTTGAAAAATCGGTTTGGTTAGCGGTAAAACAGTGAAGTCTGTTCAATATCTGTATCTAGGGGTTTTTGGGGTCGGAAATTATGATTCTCTCGTTTAAATTGGGAAATTCAAGATAGAGGATCCAATATGGCGAACGAATTTTGTAATAATTGTTATTCGATTCTTTTGAAAACTGGTGTCTGGGGGTTTTCTGGGTTGAAAATCATGATTTTTCATAAAAAATGAGATATCCAAAAGGGCTGCTTAAAAAAGGGGTCCGATTATATTCGAGATTGGTATGTACGACAAGCTTTCATACAAATGCACAAACATGGAAAAAATAATGTCTTTCATGTTTGATCCAGGTTATTCTGTGAGTAACAGATTCAAAAGCTCTCCGCGGATACAAAATAGGAAATCTTGGGTGGTATGATTTTGAATCTGTTACTCACAGAATAACCTAGATCAAGCATGAAAGAAATTATTTCCTCCTTTTTAGTGCATTTTTATAAAAGCTCGTCTTCAAAAATGTTTTTCATATAATATTTTATATTTATTTTCGATGATGTTCCATAAATGAGATAAAGGGTGTTTCAAATAATTTCATCTTGGGTTTTCAATCTGCCCCTTCGAGATAAAATCTATGACTTTGTTTCCTTGTATAATGAAGAACTATTGTTAGGTAAATTACGGTTTGAAAAATCCTGATAGTCCTGAGAGTTGGGATTTTTCGTCAGGATCAGGTGATGACGTACATTCTTCCGATTTGAGTTGCCTCACGAGTAGTACCGATTCAGAAGCGAATCCCGGATACAAGGAAGTATCCGCAGAGCGACTCAGAAATGTATCAGATAATGAAAGTGATTCAATGAACAATGAGGCATCGAGTGAGGAATCAATGTTTTCTGCTTCAGATCAATCTAGAGCTGAAACCGATATGCTGTCGAACTTAGAGAAGGTGAGTCAAAGTCGCGAAATTGAAGATCTGATTTCACCTATGAGTTTTTCTGCTCATCAGTACATTATTAATCGACTTCATTCTGCATAGGGCATGCTCAAATAGATCTGCATGGGAACCTGGCTATGGATTGAGTCAGAAAAAAACAAACAAAAATTCAAATTTCAGTTAGGAATTGCCATCAAACATTTTCGTTATTTCCTAAAAATGAAAAAACTCATCGCCCGAACATGAATCAACTTCTTTCAATCGGTGAACTTTCCCTACGATATATTCAGTAACTTAAAACAAAAAATTTGTAACGTGGAGGTGATTATTCTTAATATTTCCAAATGCAAGAGTACAGGAAAAGAATAGAATATAAAATAACCTATAAGAAGTAGATACCTAATTTTACCTTCTTGCACATTTCCTTGTGCATCCTTAGTTTCATTATTCCTTGAATTCAAGAGTAATTCTTCTCTAGAAACTTATTAGTGTCTCTGAGGATGCCCGTATGGTGCCGAACCTATAGTCGCACAGTGATGACTTTCCATTAACTTTTGTGGTTGAACTACTTCGAATTTTCTGTTTTTCCCTTTTGATGATGATATACATTTTCAATGGGTATCAGTTTTTTGGTAGCTCGTACAGTTTCCAGGATCCTGAATTATTTGCACTCCATGATTTTTTTCTTCAATGGTACATTGTTTTTGTAGAATTTGTCTTATGCTGATTCTAAGCAAATAACTATGAGTCCTGAAATACCTCTGATCAAGATTCAATATCCTGATGATATCTCGGATACCGTATCAAGAATGACTGATGATGATAATGATACTCATATTCATGTATCTACCAATGAAAACATTTTCGGCAACCTCATGGAAACCACGAGTTCATCATCGAAGGAGGATAACACTATCCTACAGAATTTGGTAAATACAAGATGATTATTATTCATATCATCATCGAAGTTTTAATCAATTCTTCTATTTCAACTCAATTTCAGGATATATGTTATGCAAATTGTGTCAAATTGGCTTCGTTGAATGATACTTATGGAAACATTTTTTTTTCTAGAACTGCATTGGTGTTCCAGATGATACATATTACTCATATTCACCATTAGAAGAAGGATCATTATCTGATTCCAAAAAGATCAACATAGTTTCTGTTCACAATCTTGAGGCGGTAATATCATTTCGTTCTATGTAACAGTAAAAGAAACAGTTTTTTGACTGAGTACTTTCAATTCCAGATAGAATGGTCAGTCATCAAAGAAACAGATACCATGGGTTTCAATGCCTTGAAAGTAAATGACAATAATATGCTGACTGAGATAGAGATACCATTATTCAGTGATACATTGATGGTAATTTCTATACTTACCAATGGAATAAATTCAGTATTTCTTAATGAGCCATTACAGGAAAAAATGCTGAAACTTGGTCCAATTTCAATATTTTTAACAGGTTTCCTTAAGGGGTTTGGATTAAGGTCTGAGAACAAAACAGGTTGAGTAGGCATATCATAAAAACGTTTCGTCCATTAGTATGGGCTTCGTCAATTTCAATCTTCAGTACACTTAATCATGGTTATATTAACCAAATAGTGCCATACTATTCAACAGAGTATTTTCTCAATATTGGTGCATCTCTTCGATTGAAAATGAAAAAGACAAATATGCACCAATATCAGGAAGATATTTTCTGAAATAAAATGCTACTATTTGGTTCGGATAACTATGATAAACTAAACTGAAGATTGAATAGATGAAGCCTATGGCCATGTGCGAAACGTTTCAATGATATACCCAACTCCTTTTTTTAAACATGAATCCAAACTCCAAGAAGAAACCTCTTGAAATTATTTTGAAAGATATGGTTCAAGAAGTCCCTCCTTAACGAAAATTGATCTGAAGAAATCGATAGCGTTTTCATGGTCAAATAAATGATAATCAATCTAACTATGGAATAACATGAATGAATTTCAGAAGATAGTATATGTACTTGAATAGATGAGTCGCTCTGGGTTAAAAATGTGGACATCGCGATCACACGTACCTTCTCATTAACATATATACTTAACTCACTACACTTCGAACATTTTATTTGATAATCTCTTAGCTAGGCAGTTGTTAAAAAAACACTTCTCAGTCAGGGTGTTCCAATTCTCGAAAATTTTCATTTCGAATTCCACATCCGATTGTTCAATGATTATCTTATCCACTACACTGTTCTATCACTAACCAGACCGATTTTCCATACGCCCTCGACACGTGTTTCGCTAAATATGTTAGCATCTTCAGGAAAAGATTGGAATTAAATATCATATTCTAGTGTGCTACTTATTCTTCTCGATATAATGATCTTATATTTCTCATCTTCAGTTTCAAGGAGTGCTTCAAAAAATATATTGGTTCACATGATTTCAGGAACAAGAAGTTGATGGAAATGAGTTGAAGACTGAAACAAAACATATTTCTAAGAATACCCAAAAAAAAATTGATCGAATGATTGATAAAAAGGTAAATACGGAGTTGTTGGGAGAACATCATATTCCACATGATTCAGCACATGATACAGGGAGTCATTTCATTCAGTATCCGCTATAACGTTTGTAATATGAAAAAATTGTAATAAGAGTATTCACCTCAAGAAATTGTTGAAACAGAAATGCAATCCATCATTATGCATGAAATATCTTTACATTTTCACAATGAATGTAATCAGTACACCTGTGAGTAGACTATTTCATCCCAAAACATATATCCATTGCCTTCAGAAAACACTCTGTGGCTATAAGTTTTGAGCAATATATTAAAAAAAGTATAAAGCTTATACATAAAATTCCAAGATTTCATCTCTACAACATTGAATTCATGCAACTGATCAAAAATCAGCACTGAAGGAACACGTTTTGGGCTCATGATAATGTGTTTCACATAATTATGAGCCCGAAAAATTTTTTTTTATCTAATTCACTGCTGATGTTTGATCAGTTACAAGGAAGTTGTAGACGTGACAATGGGAGTTACTCCTGTTACAATATTATTCCGAAAATTGATTATATATTGTGTGCTACAACGTGGCATTTCGAAATGAGTGGATAGATTTGGAAAAATGAATAATAATCCATACCCAGATAACACCACCTATCGGTCCAGCATTTGTAACGAACACCTCTTCAGGCAGTTCATGTACTTTCCCGGCGTAGAAGTGTCCAGGCGGCCACCAGCCGGCCCTAGTACACAGTACCAGCGATTGAATTAACGACTCAGATGTGCTACAGTGGCAACAAATTTCAATGCACCATTGATGGGAGCGCTCAGCTACCAACGTATATGCGCTTGCAAATCCGTATTGAGAAGGATGAGTTTTCCGAGCACTTTCCAAGTATCTGACCGCAAACTCCAATTCATAAATGCGCGGTCAGATACTTGGAAAGTGCACAAAGAACTCATTCTTCTCAATACGGATTTGCAAGCGCATATACGTTGCTGGCTGAGCACTCCCATCAATGGTGCATTGAAATTTGTTGCCGCTGCACCACTTCTGAGTCAATAATTCGATCGCCGGTAATGTGTATCAGGACCGGCTGGCGGCCTCCTGGACACTCCGACGCCTATAGTTGGTCGTCATTTCTCAAGTGTATCGGTGTTATCTGGGTAATTGAGCAGCTGTATTTTATGAATGAGAATTGAAGTGATCTTTAGTGTCATTTATTATCTTCAGATTCCTGCTCAAAACAAAAACCGTCATCCGAATTCTACGAATAATAATGCAGGTGTTGCTGAAGAAGATATTCAAACTTCGTCTAAACGCATCGACAGAGTGATAGCGAATTTTGGGTTAATCACGAGAGTAAGTTTGTCTCTTCATACAGAAAGGTATTTGAAATTTTCATTTGCCAGCTCTGATTACGTTTTTTCTAGGATCATAATACCAGTAAACTAGATTGTATCGAAAATTCTAGACCGTGGACAAAAAAAAATACTTGCCCGTATTGTTTTGTCGATATCACACATTTTTCTAGGCATTTGCAAAGAAATCATGCCGAAGAAGGTGCAGTTCAAGAACTGTTGTCTCTTCAGACAAGAGATCCGAAGCGAAAAAAACTACTCAATGCTATTCGTAGGCAAGGTAACTTTGTTAACAATGAAAAAGGTTCAGTGCTAAGGCCAGTTAGAAGACCTAGAAAAAAAAGTGAAGACAAGAACGAAGATGAAGACTCCGTTTACCTTGCTTGTGATAATTGTTTAGGTTATTTCAAGAAACCTTTCATGAGAAGACATAGGAGAAAGTGCACTTTGCGAGTAGACATACCTTCCAATAGAGAAAATCATTTATCGTTAGCACAGGCATTTTCGATTTGTTCAAATTCAGGTTTCTATGATAACTTGAGATTGAAAAAAGAAGTAATCGATAATATGCGGAGTGATGACATTTCTAAAGCAGCGATCAGGGATGTTCTGATATGCAGTTATGCTGAAAGCCAACTAAAGAAACATAAGCGAATACAAGCTAAAATAACGGTATCGAACCGAATGAGGGAATTAGGAAGACTTCTTCTTGTTGTCAGACAAATTAACGGAACACAAAGGTTTATTGACCTACTCAAACCTGAATGCTTTGATAATATTGTAACAGGGACTAAAATAATAAGTGGTTATGATAAAGAGACCCGAACATTCACGGCAAGTAGTTTAGCGCTCCATATGGGCACGAGGCTCAAGCAGGTTTGTGACATAGCCACAAAACTCATTATTCAAAAATATCGCTTTCTTCCATGCAATCAGCCTGAACTTTATTTGAAAAATATCAAGCGTTTCAGAAATCTAGTAGAACATCACTGGAGTAATGAACTCTCCAGTCTGGCTCTCAAGGATTTGAACGAGAAAAATTGGGAGAAACCAAAATTATTGCCTCTCACCAGTGAAGTTATGCAATTTCAAAAATTTGTGATGGCCGAGGCTATAACAGCAAACGATAATATCAAAGAGAATAAAAACCTCCAATCCGCATTCAGAAGACTCACAGAATGTGTATTAGCCTTAACATTATTACTCAATAGGAAACGCATTGGAGAAGTTCAATATTTGAAATTGAAAACCTATAATACTGACGTTCAGCCAAATGAGCAAGATGAAATTTTAAAGGCAATATCAGAATCTGAAAAAATTCTCTGTAAAAATTTTAAACGAGTAATTACTGGTGGCAAAGGTAGTAAACCTGTGGCAATATTATTCCCTACCAAAATTCAATCATTCATCAAAACTCTGTTGAGTTATCGTACAAAATGTGTTGCTGATACAAACCAGTACTTGTTTGCGAATCCAAGAACAGAAAATCGATGGTTAAGTGGATACCACATACTGAAAAAATTAGCAGAGCAGTCTGGTGTAAATAACAGAGAGTTATTCACGTCGACCAGACTACGGAAACAAATAGCGACTGTATTACAAATAATGAATATAACTGAAACCGAGATGGAACAATTTGCAAATTTCATGGGACACACAATGAAGACACACGAGCAATATTACAGGTAGGTATTTATTTGGAAAATATTCAGTATCTGTTTGTGTAATAATTGAAGATTTTATACATTATGCATTTCGTCATATGGTAGTATCTCGTTTCGAAAAGTCACTGATCTTTTGTAAAAATAAAAGTATCATCTCTTCTCTTCTACGAAAAATAAGTGAAATTTCTTGAAGAAACAAACTGCCATAGGGATTCAGACATTCTAATCCAGAACCTTATCAAATTGAATTTTTGCTGAAAAATTTGGATCATGAACAACACTCTCAGAGTGCTTACATTTCCATAGGAATTTTCATGTATTTTTCCTTGTGAGTTCTCTGTAGCTATGTGGTGGTTCAAGGAAGTTTATCTCCTCCTTCTCTATTAGGTGTGCTCCTAGGTTTTCTTGCCCTCGCGTTTTGTGGGGTGACACATTCCGTAACTATGTTGATAATGGCTTCCTCCTCTTCCCCACAGAACCTGAATACGTCTCACTCTTCTAAGCCGAGCTTCCTAAGATGTGATTTCAACCGGCAGGGTCCTGTGAGGAGGAGGTGTTATTATATGTGATTTATTTTCACTTAGAATTAACCTACAGACAGTATTTATTTGTTAGGATATTTTCGGACTGAAAATTTTTGGACCCGATATTCACTCGTAGACCCTAAGACAATAACCTAATGGATATCATCCTTTGGAAGTATTGCCTAAGCTTTTAAACCAATGAAATTATGTGTCAATTTCGAACATTATAATTATCTCGTTATGAAGTTCTTCAGCGTTCATTGATTTCATGTAATTCATCATTTCAGGTTACCTCAGGATGTCTATCAAACTGCGAAAGTCTCCAAATTACTCCTTGCCATAAATAGTGGCAAAGGCGCTCTTTATAAAGGAAAAACCCTTGACGAAATAGATTTCTCAGATGATGTAGAATCAGATGATTCTGACTCTGAAGAGACTAAGGAAATATTCACCAGAAAAAATTCGATCAGTAAAAGTGAAATAACCAACTCCAGCAAGTTGATGAAAATTGCTGTGCCAGGTACATCAGAATCGGATTTCAATAACGACTATGAAGACAATCCAAGTTCTGATGAAGATGAAGGTAATACAGTATATATGAGCGGAAGATATTGTCTTCTCGGTATTTCATTTCATCAAATTATCGAAATCATATTCATCACATGAAGTTGTCCATAGTAACCTCAACAAGATGATAATAGTCACGAAGTCAGTCAACTATTCAAGATATTCAACCTATAAATATCTCGTCACTAGCGCCTCATTTCTATCGTGTTTAATGAAGAGACTTGCAGAGCTAATCTGGCAGATACGAAAAAGTCGCAGGAAGTACTTCACTAACACATCCAAGATATTTCCAAATCGAAACTCATAGGAAACTAATATCATTTTCACTGGTATCGTTATGTCAGTAAAAGTAAAACAAATAATATCTTATATAAAATTTCATCATCTGGTATTGACTTGAAATTCATAGACTAATCGTGTACTGAGGATGACCTTGGTCATTTTTTATTTTGATAGAAATTTTGATTACCTAATCAACATTGAATTTGATGCAACCAGCTATCGTTTGAGCATTATTCGAAATTAACTCTATTTCCATAGATATTTCACTTACAGAGATACACATACTGATGATGACCAACTGGGCACTCGATTGTGCTGTGCTATGATTTCAGACAAAGCGAGAAAAATTCACTCGAAAGTTAATGAGACAATTCAGAGAAGATCACAGAATGTACATAGTTTTTCCGTCACATTACCTATATTTTTCCTAAGAATTGAATTTTTTTTTAGTTGAAAATCCGAAAAAGAAGAAGAAAGCTGGTAAAACCCAGAGAATCAGATGGACTGAAGAACAAAAAAGGATCATCAGCACGTTTTTCAGAGATCATATACGGAATAAGATAGCCCCGAAAAAACTTGAAGTGGAAAAGTTAATGCAACAAAATAAAAAACTATTCAAGAGTAAGAATTGGGTGAAGATCAAAGCTTATGTATACAACTGCTATAGAGACAAATGAGTTGAAAAAACATAATTTGGCCAGGAAGGACTTTTCTTTTCATTCATCATTTAAACAAATATTGGGAATGCAGAATGGTTTTCAATGCATGAAAATTTGAACTTCCTTCAATTATTTCCTCAGAATGTGCTATATAAATAGTTTGGATGATATTTTTTGAAATAGATCATCATAATTATTCTTTCATTTTCCTCCGAGTATTTTTCTTTCTGAATTCAAATATATACTTCTATTTCATTTAATTTCAAACGAAATAGTTGAAGGAGAATTCAAGTTACACGTGAATGCATTTACTTTTATTATAAATAATATGTTATTCGTTTCTAATACATATACTTCCATTATGAATGTGGTATTTTTTATCTTCTTCTTATGAATCTTATAATATGAATTTTATAAATTCAATTTTACTCAGGCCGGCGTGTGTCGTGTGATTCATCACCTCAATATCGAGGATTTATAGAAAGTGCACTAGGCCGACCTAATATTTTGGCAGAGATCAGTTGCCATTTTCAGTATCGATTTTTTTTATGTTCTGGTTCCCACGAAAAGGGATATCCTGTAATGTTCATATAACATCGTGAGAACCAAGGAAAATAAGGTAGGAATTGGTGTTCTCCTTAAATTTCTGAAGGTTATATGCCTCGGAGAACACCTCCCTTGGCAATGTGTTCCAGAGCCCCGCTTCATAATCTACATTGCACGATGTTCTTTGAACATTATGGGGATTCCCTTTCGTGTGCTCCAAGCGATAATGAAAAATATATCAGTCACGATCACGAGTATCACATGTGAAATATCAGAAGACATTTCACGAGAAACCTATTTTCCTTCTAACATGTTGAAAACAGCAGAAGATTCTTCCCCGAAACGTCCAAAGATAAGTGGAAATTTGATATTGTCTTCTATATACCTATATTCATCTCTTTAATTTTTCAAAGGAGAGAGTCACTGACAAACGAATCTATTATATTTTTAGACTCTTGGATAGAAGAATGTTTATTGACAATTATTAGTCTTCAAACATTTATATATTTTCCTACGAGCGTGCGGAGAAGCAACTTTCCCGCACGATTTTGAAAGTTGTACTTTTTTGTACGAATTCACTTTTCAGCACGATTTCTTCTTTTCCGCAAGATTTTTACTTTTCCGCACGATTTTTAATTTTCTCTAAAGCACAATTTTTCAATCCAATATATACTATTTCGTACTTCGAATCAAATTATTATCTATAGGTATCATTTTTCATTCAGAGAACCTAAATCTGTGTATTAGATAAAATCGTGCGAGAGAGTTATTTTCCGCACGATTTTTGTTTTATTGAAAATGAGGATATTTAGAGCTAATTATATGATCTGTGTAACTATTCTGTCTCATGTGACATTTTGTAACATTATTATGGAATTTTGTTTATCGCAAACCTTTTTTTTTCATAAATAATATAGACAAAAACACTCGTAGAAAAAACATTGTATTGTACCTAACTGTCGCGGAAAATGTCCCACCCTTGACGGCTTGCCCAAACTACGCTTCGCGTCATTCGTGCATCTGCCGTCGCGTGCGGAAAGTACTACTTTCTGCACTTGTTAGGTAGATAACTATTTCTCGTATTGTTTTGGATGCCAAACCATACAGGAACTGGCTGAGATCTGTTGTTGCTATGCGAATATAATTGATTTGTGTGAATGATGTGTGTTAATTGCTTCTATAGGATTGCATTCTCCAGATTCTCCTCATTAGAAGGTCCCAATTCTGAATTCTTCTAAGAAACCAATCTGTGGAATATGTAGTAGAGAAACAAGAAGTTGATTCGGAAATCAATAAAATGTTTTCGAATAGTTTTATATTCGAACTTGTTTGAAGTGTGCGAGAAAAACTATAACCATTATCGAGAAATAATCGATTCACAAATGAAAAAATCATGATGAATTGAATCACTCAAATTCGAACGGTACACCTCAATATCGCTAGCACTGAAATGAATCAGACACTTTGTAACATCAGGCCTAGAATATTTGCTTAAAGCATCAAACTACCTATATCATGATCTGATCTGAATTCAATTTGCGGTACCTACTTTCATTGTTACTTTTGTTCAAAAATACCAAATACCATCATGATATTTCGAAAACTGAATGTTGTGATTCGAGTAAAGCTAATTAGAGAGAATTCCGAAATATAAGTTGAGTGTTTTAACCACTTAGGTATCATCCAATATCAAACTCATAAACAAACAGCATTATTTCTGCTATCATTGAACTGATTGATTTCCCGCTCAAGATATTTGATCATTTTGTCAAATATCAAAACAAAAGAGAGTATAGTACAAAATGAACAAGACACTTTTTTTAGGTTTCTTGCGTGCTAGTGTCATGTTCTTCTTTCACATCATCATGATGCAGAGGTCTTAGGACGAAAAATTGTGTACCCTCAAATCCAACGATTGCGACGTTGCCAAATTTAGGGCTCAACAACGATACAATCATGTGTGGGCTCCACAACGTTTATACAAATCTGAAGTGTATATCCCTATATACAAAAAAGCGCCCTCTACAGGCCGATCCCCGAAGTTTTTGCTGTATGTCGGTTATATCATGGGTATATTGTGGAGCCCGACCAAAAATTCGGGAAAACGCTCCCCATTCAAATCTGGCCACTCAGTGAAGAGATACAGGGCGATACGTTGTTGAGCCCGAAACCGGGCTCAAGAACGTTTCTTCGGGCTCCACTACGTACCGTTCATATGCTAATCGGGCTCAACAATGACCGTTTAGTTATCTATATATATATATATATATATATATATATATATATATATAGATTAGGTATAGGTTTTGTGGGGATGCAGCTGATGTGGGACTCAAAAGAAAACTCTTTTTACTTTTGAGAAAGCTTTCGGAATTTATTTAATTCCTTCGTCAGTCTCTAGTATATGAGGTTGTAGAATTGCAATTCTACAACCTCATATACTAGAGACTGACGAAGGAATTAAATAAATTCCGAAAGCTTTCTCAAAAGTAAAAAGAGTTTTCTTTTGAGTCCCACATCAGCTGCATCCCCACAAAACCTATACCTAATCTATTGATTTATACAGCTACTAATATTAATTGAATATATATATATATATATATATATATATATATATATATATATATATATATGTGCATAATATAGCTGTTTTCTGATCGTTAATGAAATCATCTTAGAAATTTCATACAGAACTCCAATGAATGGTGATATTTTTTCCTTAACATGGGTTATATGTTTTTTCCATGAGAGCACTTCATCAATGTATAGTCCTAGGTATTTGGTTGATTTTGAGTATGTTAGCTGGCTACCACCAAAATGAATAGGGGATCCAATTTCACTTTTGGATGTTTTGGAAATGACCATATACGAAGACTTGTCAATATTGAGGGTTAGTTTGTGAGAATTCAGCCAATTTTGTATATGTAGTAAGTCATCTGCTATTGATCTTCTTATGGATGTAACATCCTTACCGACGTATACTAAGGTTGTGTCGACCACATACAATTTCAAGTCACCGATCAGGGGTTGCAAAGATAATTCGTTTACATATATTAAAAAAAGTGTGGGTCCCAGAATCGAGCCTCGTGGCACACCACATTTTATATCTTTTAGGTCACTTCTAATGCCATTGGTACTGGTCAACTGTTTTCGGCCACTGAGATATCCGACAAACCAATCATTAGCTAGCCCTCTTATTCCTATATTACTGAGCTTACGTATCAATATATCATGATCTACGGTGTCAAATGCCTTTCGCAGGTAAAGCAAGACCAACGAGCAAATTTCACCCTTATCAACTTTCATTTGCGAGTCTGAAATCAAGTCAACCACAGCAATTTCAGTATCGCTTGACCTTCGAAAGCCATACTGACAGTCGTGTAGAAATTTTATTCTCTCGAGATATTGCACAAGTCGACGATTTACACAATCTACAAGTATTTTAGAAAACGTGGGCAGGAGTGAAATCGGGCGATAGTTTGTTGGGAGTGTGCGGCTTCCAGACTTGAAGATCGGTATCACTTTCGCATATTTTGGTCCTGCAGGAACGCTGCCACTAATGAATGACAAATCAATCATCGCACCAATAAGAACAGAACACTCGTCGATTGAAGATTTGACCACTCTTACACTTATGTCATCTATACCGCTGGCCTTATTGGCGTCCATTATTTGTATGGTAGTTCGAATCTCGTCAGCCGTTGTGGGAAATAAAAACATTGAGCCCTGCTCTTCATTTTGCTGGTTAACAAATGGAACATTAGGGATTTGGTATGACAAGTGTGGTCCAATATTCACGAAAAAGTCATTCATAATATTGGATATTTCTTTCGTGTTAGTATTGATAGCACCAGCTTCTTCAATCGAGTGCACAGAGTTTTCATTTCCGCAAGAATCATACAGAAGATTGTTGATGCATACAGTTGAAGCATATACGATTGGGGTGACCGTATAAGACGACTCTGAGAGGAATATAACGAGTACAATAGGCGAATGGAGATACATCGACGGGTTTATAGGTACAGGTACAATAGGCAAATAAAGATACATCGACTCCATCGTTGTGCACATTATACCTCTTTATCAAATCATCTGACATGGACACTATTGAAGCAGACAAGTTCGCAATTTCCATATAAGACGACTTCCGAGCTGGTTCAACGCAGACAGCTTGCAGAACAAGGAACCTCGACTCTGACTATGTTCACACTGTAACGCAGTATAACATCCGACCTGCATACAGTTGAAGCATATATGATTGCAGTGACCGTATAAGATGACATTGATGGGTATATAACGAGTATAATAGGCAAATGGGGTATATAACGAGTACAATAGGCAAATGAAGATACATCGACTTCATCGTTGTGCACACTTTATCTCTCTATCCTATCATCTCGACTTGACACTATCGAGTAGACGAGTTTGCATTGACCATATAAAACGACTCCCAGGCGGGTATAACTCACACA